CAGGGATTTAATAACCACCAAGAAAAACCCAAAAATGACACACAATTTATAAAAACTAGAGTACACAGATTCTGGTCCAGCTGTCCATGGTAACCAATCAGTTTTTATCTTCAGTTTGTTCAGTTATGATTTAAAAATGAAAAATAGAAGCTGATTGGTTATTATGCACAGTTGCTCCAGATTCTGTGTGCTCTAGTTTTAATAAATTCCCCTCAGAGTATTATTTTTTGCTCATTAAAAGTCATAAGCATACAGTAAGGCTTCATGCAGCCTTTTGTCAAGCTAAATTCCACAAGTCAGTAATATCCCTTCTGGAGCAGTAATACTGTCCTGGACATAGGAATACTGATTTGTGACATTGTAGCCTTGAAAGGGAGATCCTATTACCACTTTAGAATGTAGGTTTACTGAATATTTATTTATTTCATAGCATCATCAATTTATGCAGAACTTAACATATATATTGTACGTTCACATCAGTCCCTAACCCTCAAGGAGTGTATATGAGTAATTTTAGGTCCCTAACTTACATTCACACATACAGTATCTCACAGAAGTGAGTACACCTCTCACATTTTAAAAAATATTTTATTCTATCTTTTCATGTGACAACACTGAAGAAATGACACTTTGCTACAATGTAAAGTAGTGAGTGTACAGCTTGTACAACAGTCTACATTTTCTGTCCCCTCAAAATAACTCAACACACAGCCATTGATGTCTAAACCGCTGGCAACAAAAGTGAGTACACCCCTAAGTGAAAATGTCCAAATTGGGCCCAAAGTGTCAATATTTTGTGTGGCCACCATTATTTCCAAGCACTGCCTTAACCCTCTTGGGCAAGGAGTTCAACAGAGCTTCACAGGTTGCCACTGGAGTCCTCTTCCATTCCTCCATGATGACATCAATGGTGGATGTTAGAGACCTTGCTCTCCTCCACCTTCCATTTGAGGATGCCCCACAGATGCTCAATAGGGTTTAGGTATGGAGACATGCTTGGCCAGTCCATCACCTTTACTCTCAGCTTCTTTAGCAAGGCAGTGGTCATCTTGAGGTGTGTTTGGGGTCGTTATCATGTTGGAATACTGCCCTGTGGCCCAGTCTCCGAAGGGAGGGGATCATGCTATGCTTCAATATGTCACAGTACATGTTGACATTCATGGTTCCCTCAATGAACTGTAGCTACCCAGTGCCAGCAGCACTCATGCAGCCCCAGATCATGACACTCCCACCACCATGCTTGACTGTAGGCCAGACACACTTGTCTTTGTACTTCTCACCTGGTTGCCGCCACACACACGCTTGATGCCATCTGAACCAAATTAGTTTATCTTGGTCTCATCAGACCACAGGACATGGTTCCAGTAATCCATGTCCTTAGTCTGCTTGTCTTCAGCAAACTGTTTGTGGGCTTTCTTGTGCATCATCTTTAGAAAAGGCTTCCTTCTGGGACGACAGCCATGCAGACCAATTTGATGCAGTGTGCGGCATATGGTCTGAGCACTGACAGGCTGACCCCACCACCCCTTCAACCTCTGCAGCTATGCTGGCAGTACTCATACATCTATTTCCCAAAGACAACCTCTGGATACGACGCTGAGCACGTGCACTCAACTTCTTTGGTCGACCATGGCGAGGCCTGTTCTGGGTGGAACCTGTCCTTTTAATCTGCTGTATGGTCTTGGCCACCATGCTGCAGCTCAGTTTCAGGGTCTTGGCAATCTTCTTATAGCCTAGGCCATCTTTATGTAGAGCAACAATTGTTTTTTCCAGATCCTCAGAGAGTTCTTTGCCATGAGGTGCCATGTTGAACTTCCAGTGACCAGAATGAGAGAGTGAGAGCGATAACACCAAATTATTATTATTATTATTATACAGTATTTATAAAGCGCCAATAGTTCGCTCAGCGCTGTACATTACAAAGGGGGACAGAACATATCACAGAACAATAACAATACAATGCAAAACATGAGGGGATTGAAGGCCCTGCTCTTTCGAGCTTACAATCTAGGAATGTAACACACCTGCTCCCCATTCACACCTGAGACCTTGTACCACTAACAAGTCACATGACACAGGGAAGGAAAATGGCTAATTGGGCCCAATTTGGACATTTTCACTTAGGGGTGTACTCACTTTTGTTGCCAGTGGTTTAGACATTAACGGCTGTGTGTTGAGTTATTTTGAGGGGACAGCAAATGTACACTGTTATACAAGCTGTACACTCACTACTTTACATTGTAGCAAAGTGTCATTTCTTCAGTGTTGTCACATGAAAAGATAGAATAAAATATTTACAAAAATGTGAGGGGTGTACTCACTTCTGTGAGATACTGTACATATACTAGGGCCAATTTAGATAGGATCCAATTAACCTACGAGCATGTCTTTGGAGTGTGGGAGGAAACCAGGGTACCTGGAGGAAACCCATGCAGGCACAAGAAGAACATGCAAACTCCAGGCCGGTGGTGCCGTGGTTGGTATTTGAACCGAAGACCCTAGTACTGCCAAGGCCAGAAGTGCTAATCACTTACCCACTGTGCTGCCCAGTTATTAACCTTGTTACACTGAGGGTTAAATCATGACTGTAACATGCATTTTTTTTCTTCAAAATATATCTGTTCATTTGTTTTGCATATTTTCCTTAGAGTAGGAAACATTCAGCCGATTCCATTTAGGGATTACATCTGTTGTTGGTCAATGTTGCCATCACCTTTAGGCCCCCTTTACACGGGTGATTAGATTTCAGCTTTTAGCTGCGATTAGAGGAACTTAGTTACCGCAGCTAAATGCAGACAATGCATCCCTATGGCTCCATTCACACACTGTGTTTAGCAATGTTTTCATAACATACGGTTGACAGCGTCCAGGAGCAATGCACCGCAGCTATCTGTACATAAACGCAATTAATCGCAGTACAAAGAAAAATAAGTAAGCAGTTGCTATAAAAAAGGCAAGAATTTACTACTGCAGCTAAATGCAGCTGTATGTAAACGCACATAATCGTAGAGAAATAAAATGTACAAATGTGAGTTTTCAAGAGGCAGAACAACCGCCCGTATGAAAGAGGCCTTAAACAATTAATGAATTCTTTATAGCTAATTTCTGTCTTTTCCACATTCCAGCTTTATATGTGTCTCTGGCTTTGCTCACAAGTGCAGTCGGGGTGGTAAAACAAGGCAGTTGGGCCGCAGTTTTGTTACCTCCCGACCGCTTCTTTGAACACTGACATGCAGCCCTTCAGCTCTTTATACATGCATCATAAAATTAAACCGCATGCTGAATTTGGTGAGTGTCACTGTGACGAACGCAAACTATGCAAGTTTATGGGGCCACATCGCAGTCACCCAGCAACCAAATGATGATGCACATGATTGCAGTGCGCTGCAGGGCACCACTGAAAACTGATGCACTGTGAACTGCTTTTCAGAGGAGCGGCAAGGGCTGCTGGACATTTGAGCCCTTACTGACTCGCCCTTTGTAGACTGACAAAGGGCAGGGATGCCTGAAATGTTGCTGTATGCGTATGCCTCCCAATGATCAATAAATTGAAAATAAATAAATATTTAAAAAAAAACATATATAGGATGTTGCATGGAATTTGATTATTGTGTAATTTAACTGCCCTAAATAGATTACATTTTGTGACTGTTTATCAAGAAATAGATGATGTTTGACCTTCGACTGGTAATATATTTAGCAATAAATATCCATTGCAGGGTGTGTATAGCAGCTTAATAAAAGGTTCCAGACAAAAAATAAAGTTGCCAATTACTGGGCGATAGCACAGTTGCAGAACTCTTGTCTATATTAAGGTTTGGCTGATAATATGCTACTCATGAAAATTTAAGGAACACTTTTTAATCAGAGTATAGCATCAAGTCAATTAAACTCCTGGGATATTGATCTGGTCAGTTAAGTAGCAGAGGGGGTTGTTAATCAGTTTCAGCTGCCTTGGTGTTAATTAAATTAACAACAGGTGCACTAGATGGGCAACAGTGAGACAATCTCCAAAACAGGAATGGTTTTACAGGCCACTGACATTTTTTCCCTACTAATCTTTTCTGGCTGTTTTTCACTAGTTTTGCATTTGGCTAGGGTCAGTGTCACTATTGGTAGCCTGAGACGATACCTGGACCCAACTCCTCCAGGATGGCACATCAATACGTGCCATTGCCAGAAGGTTTTGTCAGGGCTCCGGGAATGACCAGAGGTGTGTGGACCGACACAGGGAAACACAGACTTCAGGTATAGCGTGTAAACCAGATAATTTATTAAGGACAACACAAACAAAAACGCAGTGCAACAAACCAAACCCAAAACTAACACAAATACATACAACAAGGTGAAACAAACCCAAACCTCAACTGATATATATATATATATATATATATATATATATATATAGAGCACAACGTAGTCAGGCAGGCCGGATCGGTGGCTAACGGGCAAACAGGGTACCAGGAGCGAGCAGAAGAGTGGTCAGGAATAGCTGAGGTCAGGACAGGCGGAGTTCGTTCAGAGTCAGGATCAGGCAGGAAGCAGACAGGATGCAGGTACAGGGGCTCATGGGAAACATACACCAAGGCACTGATCACAGGCCTGATCCTGCTTAAATGCACCTCCTGCAATCAGCCTCAGGTGATGGCCTGATTGCAGGAGTGAGATTCTGGCTGCTGAGAGCACCCGCTGGCCAGCCTTGGTACTGCAGCCCACAAGGCAGGTGAGTCCCACCACCATTGGAAAGTCCATTCCTGACAGTACCCCCCCTCAAGGAGCGGCCTCAGGACACTCCATACATTCCTTAGTGTGCAAAATGTTCCACCGCCTGGGTCAGGTAACTGGCTGGATATCAGGGGCTGGCAAATCACACTGGGCAGCGGGCGGAGACACATCAGGCTGGGCAGTGGGTGGAGGCACATCAGGCTGGGCAGCGGACAGAGGCACATCAGGCTGATCAGCGGACAGAGGCACATCAGGCTGGGCAGCGGACAGAGGCACATCAGTCGGAGCAGCGGGCACCGGGCCATCGGGCGAGGCAGCGGACACCGGGCCATCGGGCGGAACAGCGGGTACCGAGTCATCGGCAGAACAGCGGGCACCGGGTCACCAAGCTCGACAGCGGGCACCGAGTCACCTGGCACGACAGCGGGCACCGAGTCACCTGGCACGACAGCGGGCACCGAGTCACCTGGCACGACAGAGGGCACCGAGTCACCTGGCACGACAGCGGGCACTGAGTCACCTGGCACAACAGTGGGCACCGAGTCACCTGGCACGACAGCGGGCACTGAGTCATCTGGCACAACAGCGGGCACCGAGTCATCTGGCTGGGTAGGGTCATCAGGCTGGATCGGGTCATCAGGCTGGGTAGCGAACACCAGATCATCAGGCCGGATCGGGTCATCAGGCCAGATCAGGCCATCAGGCTGGGTAGTGGGCACCAGATCATCAGGCTGGGTAGGATCATCAGGCTGGGTAGGATCATCGGGCTGGATCGGGCCATCAGGCTGGATCGGGCCATCAGGCTGGGTAGCGGGCACCAGATCATCAAGCTGGGTAGGATCATCAGGCTGGATAGGATCATCAGGCTGGATAGGATCATCAGGCTGGGGAGAATCATCAGGCTGGGGAGAATCATCAGGCTGGGGAGGATCATCAGGCTGGATCAGGTCATCAAGCCAGGTAGGATCATCAGGCCGGATCGGGTCATCCGGCCGGATCGGGTCATCCGGCCGGATCGGGCCATCAGGCTGGGTAGCGTACACTGGGTCATCAGGCATCAGGCTGAACAACAGAAGGCGGGTTCTCACACAGCAGACTGACCGGTTTGGATACTGGTAGGATGGTGCTGGTTGTAAAGAATTTTTGCTTCTTCTTGGGTTTAGTTACTGGGGCACTGCAAGTAAATCGATGGAGTAGCTGGGGACAGAGAAGAGCTGGAGGGTGGAACAGAGGAGGGAATAGTTGTTACAGCGGCCTTTTTTTACAGGGTTAAAGGCAGGATAGGTGCAGCGAGTGGGAACAGGGGACTGACATGTGGTAGATAGCAGGGTATATTGGGCTGTAACTGGGGGTGCTGTCGGGAATAGAGCTTTGAGCAGAGGAATGATTGGAAGCAGGACTGGTTTGTTGCAAGCTGACTGAGGCTGGGTGTAACAATTCTGACCAGGACTGTAGTATTGGTTGAACAAAACTCAGCTTACACATAGCCTGTCTGACCAAAGACTGCACTGCATTTATACACTCCACTAGCACATGTGGTGAACATTCTGAATAATGCTCCAAGAAGCAATCCGGATCATCCTCCAACAACCATACCAGTGACTCTACTTGGTCTGTACTAAATGGCGGCAAAAAGTCATCCCTGCTTTCAGGGGTACCAGATGAAGCCAACTCAACACAAGCCTGAATCAATGGTTGCACCTCAGAGAACTCCGTGCCCTGATCTACTAGGAAATGAGCGATCTGTATGCATTCTAGCAGCTGATCCCTGGCATACTCCTGCAGAGTCTGATAGGCATAATCTCTGTCATCTAAGACTAGTAAATACAAGTATATAACCTCCTCCGGATGCAACCTTCACCACAACAAGCCAAGATGGCTTCCCTGTGCAGCCACTTCTGGTCAGGAATGGCCTTGGTGTAATGTCAGGGCTCCGGGAATGACCAGAGGTGTGTGGACCGACACAGGGAAACACAGACTTCAGGTATAGCGTGTAAACCAGATAATTTATTAAGGACAACACAAACATAAACGCAGTGCAACAAACCAAACCCAAAACTAACACAAATACATACAACAAGGTGAAACAAACCCAAACCTAAACTGATATATATATATATATATATATATAGAGCACAACGTAGTCAGGCAGGCCGGATCGGTGGCTAACGGGCAAACAGGGTACCAGGAGCGAGCAGAAGAGTGGTCAGGAATAGCCGAGGTCAGGACAGGCGGAGTTTGTTCAGAGTCAGGATCAGGATCAAGCAGGAAGCAGACAGGGTACAGGGGCTCATGGGAAACATACACCAAGGCACTGATCACAGGCCTGGTCCTGCTTAAATACACCTCCTGCAATCAGCCTCAGGTGATGGCCTGATTTCAGGAGTGAGATTCTGGCTGCTGAGAGCACCCGCTGGCCAGCCTTGGTACTGCAGCCCACAAGGCAGGTGAGTCCCACCACCATTGGCGAGTCCATTCCTGACAGGTTTGCTGTGTCTCCCAGCACAGTCTCAAGAGCATAAAGGAGATTCCAGGAGACAGGCAGTTACTCTAGGAGAGCTGGACAGGGCCATAGAAGGTCCTTAACCCATCAGCAGGATCGGTATCTGCTCTTTTGTGCAAGGAGGAACAGGATAAGCACTGCCAGAGCCCTACAAAATTACATCCAGCAGGCCACTGGTGTGAATGTCTCTGACCAAACATTGAGAAACATACTTAATGAGGGTGGCCTGAGGGCCCGACGTCCTCTAGTGGGCCCTGTGCTCACTGCCCAGCACAATAGAGCTCGATTGGCATTTGCCATTGAACACCAGAATTGGCAAGTCTGCCACTGGTACTCTGTGCTTTTCATAGATGAGAGCAGGTTCACCCTGAGCACATGTGACAGACGTGAAGGGGTCTGGAGAAGCAACGGAGAATGTTATGCTGCCTGTAACATCGTTCGGCATGACCGTTTTGGTGGTGGGTTAGTTATGGTCTGGGGATGCATATCCATGGAGGGACGCACAGACCTCTACAGGCTAGACAATGGCACCCTGACTGCCAGTAGGTATTGGGATGAAATCTTTGGAGCCAGTCAGATCCTACACTGGTGCAGTGGGTCATGGATTCCTGTTGGTGCACGACAATGCCCAGCCTCATGTGGTGAGAGTATGCAGGCAGTTCCTTGAGGATGAAAGAATTGATACCACTGAATGGCCCCCACGCTCACCTGACCTAAATCCAATAGAACACCTCTGGGATATCATGTTTCAGTCCATCTGATGATGCCAGGTTGCACCTCAGACTGTCCAAGAGCTCAGTGATGCCCTGGTCCAGATCTGGGAGGAAATACCCCAGGACACCATCTGTCGTCTCATTAGGAGCATGCCCCGACGCTGTCAGGCATGCATACAAGCATGCGAGGCCATACAAACTACTGAGTACCATTTTGATTTGCTGCAATAAAATTTCAGCAAAATGGACAAGCCTGCTGCATCATTTTTTCACTTAAACTTTTGGGGTGTCTTTGAATTCAGTCCTCTGTAGGTTGATAATTTTCATTTCCAAACGATGGGGCATCCTTACATTCCTAACACATTACCCAGTCCATGTCAGTATAGATATCCAGCATGATATTTTTACCCATTGAGATCTGATGTGTTTTCAAAGTGTTCCTTTAATTTTTTTGAGCAGTGTATTTATACACAGTACACGATTTCCTAGTGTTATATAACCAAACAGAAATGTTATTTTTATACTGGAAATTATTGGATTAAATTGCCTGATATAATATCCTCAATTTACTGGATTACTAAGCATGACAACACTAGTTGAAAGACACGCGTGTGTTAAAGCTGAATTCTAGGCAGATATATATAACACAAATAATGCAGCTCTGTGATCATCAATAAATCCTTAAGGGCTATTTCCTTCTTTTGCAAAAAAAATATATATTTGCAGAACAAAATGTGTATTTACTTTGTCTGTGAAAATGAGCCTGCAAATCAATGCAACTGTGTTAGGTGGATTGCAGGTGCAATATCAGGATCCTGCTGATCCTTCCTCCAGCTCTGTGTATGAACCGATTGCAGAGCTGGAGGAAGTGTCAATCAGTTCAGATTGGGTGAGGGAAAAGCAACACAAGGAGCCACTCTGGACAAGGAGAAGTAGAATGCTGCTTCTCCTTGTCCAGAGTGGAGAGAGAAGGCCTGTAAGTGAAAGTGAAACTGTAACAGAGTAAGAGCAGATCCCCACCCTTACTAATTTTCAGGAGCAGGCAAAGTAATCCTTCATCACAAACAAACAAATAATTTCCTAGCAACCAGCCAGCCTGCAAAACAACCATTTAGCCCTGTCTAACAGCTTGCTTTAAAAACAGAGGGTTTTGTTTGCACACATTTGCAAATACATGCGTAAGCCACAATCCCGCATCAAGGGTCTTCTGTATACTGTGGACCTAACTCTAAAACTTCCATAGCCTCCATAGTAGTAGCACATATATCAATGGATAGGTTAAGGGCGGGTGAGCCTGGAGGAGCCCACCGCTTCTTAAAGGTACAGGGACGCACGTGATGCCCAGCGATACCAAAATGACAGCAAAGGCATCCAGTGCATCCTTGCATCCAAATTAGCCAACACCACAAAAAAATGGCATCCATCCCAACCAATAACCAGCCACAGTAAGGTGCACATGGAAGAGCAATGCACATCGCAAACAAACAAAGTATTTCCCAGCAACACTTACCAGGCAGCCTGCAAAATAACCAATTTTGCCCTGTCTAACATTTTCCATTAAAAACAGAGGATTTGTTCAGATTGGGTGAGGGAGAAGCAACACAATGAGTCAATCAGGTCTTTTGCATCTCAAGTAGCATGCTACATAAAAGAAGAAACCAGAGTGACAAAAATAAAAAAAAATTAGCTCATCAATGTGCTGCTTCTCCTTGTCCAGAGTGGAGAGAAGGCCTGTAAGTGAAAGTGAAACTGTAGCAGAGTAAGAGCAGATCCCCACCATTATTAATTTTCAGGAGCAGGCAAAGTAATACTCCATGCCTCGGCTCCTGACAATTAAATTAAAGTTTTGGACTACTCCAGCAAATTGATATGGAAGGGGCCAAAATTTGAATTTAATTGTCAGGAGCTGTAGTATGGAGCATTACTCTGCCTGCTCCTAAAGATGAGTAAATAGTCCCACCTCTGTCTCCAGCCTTCTTGGTGAATTGAAGGGGTAGAGGAACTTTTAGTTAATTGTTGGGAAGCAAAAGATTACTCTGCCTGCAGCCAAAGGTACTTACAGAGTCCCCAATTCTGCCCCTGCTGAGCTGATGGGGTCCAGGCCTGATACAGGAGGGCTGGCTCTATCCCTCCTGTTGGCGCCCCTGTGTGAGGAAATTGTACCATATCCGTCACACCCCTGATAGGCTCGCCTACAGTTTCTGCAAGGGGTTGAACCAGATTGCTGTATGGCACCAATACCAATCATAAGAAAATAAGGATCTTCCCCAGCACTGCATGGTATAGAGATAATCTTGTCCTTTACTCACATAAAGCAACAGGCATTACAGGCCGATGTTTCAAGATCTTGCAAGATCCCTTTTGTAGAGGTGATCACTATGTCAC